GCATGAGCTGGTAGTGAGAAAGGAGAAACAAGGAAAGAAGACTAACTTTAAAGGGGGGGGTAATCTATGAGCACCTGTGTGTGCATCTGAGTGTGTGTATGTTCACCACACCAGTGCAGGTGCCAGAAGAGGGTATCAGATCCCCTTGGAACTAGAGTTACAGAGATTGTAAGATGTCTGATGTGGGTGCTGGGAACTGAACTTGGGTCGTCTGCAAGAGTAGCCAGGGCTCTTCACCACCGACCCATCTCTCCAGCCCCAAAGATTGACTTTCATGAAGTTTAACAGTGAAGAGTTGAGGAGAAGGAGCGATCAACCAAGGAGCAGCCAGTCCAGGAAGGCTTGAGTTAGGGTTAATTTTAAAGACACAGTACAGCATTCCACACGTGTAGGCAGAGAATGCAATAAGGGTGAAGCCCAAGACTCAAGGCAGAAAAATGAATGAAAATTACAAGGAATTCAAGGGACCCAGGAAACCCAGTCAGCAGCACAGGGGAGATCGGTTTTAGAGCAAAGCTTGGAGTGAGCTCACGTGACCTGGCCCCACTCAGATGCAGAATCCAGCTGGGCTTGGTGCTCCTGGCAGGATAAGGTGACTCTTGCTGGTCTTGAATATTCAAAGGGGCCAGGACCTTCCCTGCCTTCTCATGGGAACACCTTCCAGCGATTAGCTCTGGCCCTCTTTTCCTTTGCAACATCGTCATGTGAGACACAAGGACATGGAATGTGATTGGCTCCAAGCCTAGGCACTTTGCCTGTGGCTCTGGTGTGGGTCTGGGTGAACCCAGAAGAACGGTACTCATTCCACAGTTCCCTCCTCCCTAGTTCCTATTCAGTCTGGTGGCTGGTAATTCTAGCTACTTGGAGGGCTGAGATGGGAAGATTGAAAGATCAAGGCCTGCCTGGACTACAGAGTGGAGTTCAAGGCTAGCCTAGGAAACTTCGATTCTGTCTTAAAATCAGAAAAGTCAAAAGAGGGCTGGGGAAGATATAGCCCAGAGGTAGAGCTTGCCTTGCACGCTTCGGGGCTAGGTCCAATCCCTGTCACCAAGACAACAAACAAAGGCACAGATCTCCCAGGGCTGAGAGCCTAGTGCCTTGTACTTTCGACCCCTTCCTCGGGCATGTGTTAGCCTCACTTCAGTGGCTCCTGTGGCATCTCTATTTCCAGCCTCTCTCAGCTGGTGGCCTCCGGTTGTAATCATCTCTATAAGGAATGACAAAGTCCCTGTCAGCTCTCCCGGCTTCAACTGCTCTCCTCTCCTCATCCCCTCCGGCTTCTCCTCTGTGACAGCACTGTTCCCCACCCCCCACCCTCACCCCCCGTCCCCCCACCTCTGGAAATGACCTCTGCGCTTGCTTCCCCTAGCGTCCATTGTCCCTGTCCAGGAGAATCTCTGACCCTCTTGCTTGTTTTCAGCTTGTCTCCTGGAGTCTTGCTCTGACCTTTGTCGTGCCTGAATAGATGGCAAGTATTTACATCTCTCGGTGACCTGCAGAATCCTGAGGAGAGAGGGCCGGGTTCAACTTGCCATATGCCCCCTCACATCTGACCCGACTCTGGGAGAAGGTCCTTACGGGTTTGTGGAGGGAAGAAGTGATGCTCTCAGCGTATACCAGTCGAGGAAGTGGGAGTCAGCCCTGACGTCTGCTCTAGGCATGACACGGTGTCTGAAGCGCTTTTGCGATGTTATTTCCGTAGGTCTCAGAGCTGCGCGGGCAGGAGGAAGAGCAGGAGGATATTAATATCCTCCTAGATAATGAAACAGGCTCATTGGAAGGAACCCAGTCAGAACACAGTGGGCAACATCCCCTGTCAAACTCCAAAGGCCTGCAAACATGGGAGACATTATTATATCCCCTCCCCAGTGGAACTGCCTAGAGATTGCAAAAAAAAGCCACCGAGGACGCTCTGAGTCATCTCCGCATCTCTGAACACGTACTTTTCGACTTCACAGCCTGATGAAGGTCCTTGCAGGCAGAAACTGGGTTATCCATCTTTCTGCAGTCTACAGTTCTTGGCAAGTCGTAAGCATTTTGTAAATATTTACTGACTTGAATTATCCATCAAATTATTTGTTGATTTATTAAGTTAAGCTGTGATGGTGAATTTTCTGGAATCAGAGTAAGAATTATTTTTGAGCAGATGGCCCATTCCCGGTGCCCATCAAATTAGACTAGATGGGTCATTTTCTAAGCATGGGACCAGCCCTGAGGCTATAGATAGAACAAATTCAAATTCATGATGAATTCATTAAAAATTCCAGGACAAGAAATCTTTCAGGGACACTAATGACATCCCCATTTAAGACTAAATTAATTCTGTATGGTTTAAATGTTATTACAGTAAAGCGCAAACGAACGTAATTGTGACGAGGCTCCGCTTCTGAAAGGGACCCATTAAGTCAGTCAATCATCACAGCCCAGCTATTCATTAGCATGACTTGACATCTCCTATGTTATGCGGCTTTTTTTCAGTTCGCATCGGCAACATATTTATGGAGAACTTCCTCGAACACACAGCATGGCTGCATAAAGGATGGAGACGGAAGCAACCAGGAGTGCCTACAGCTCCACCGAGCCTCACCAGTCCAGCGATGATGGATGATGTGACAACCAGTGGCTCCTGCATCCCCCCGGAGCTCATTACAAATGCAGGGGCCTGGAGACTTCCTGCATCAGGACCTCAGGTTAGCAACATCCCCTAGGGACCTGTATGATCATTACAATTGGAGGAGGAAATCATGGCCGTGTAACTGAAGATAGGCCCGTCAAATGAGGTAACTGCAGAGCAAGGGGAAGCCTCCTCAGTGAGGTCTACCACTACCCCAGTACATCCAACTCCAAAACCTCCCACTGCACCACCCCCATCTTATTGCCCTGCACAACTTTCTTCCATACTGTTTATCACTTTAGGTCTATATCACATTCTACACTACATATTTATTGTGTATGCTGTTCACTCTGTCTGTCTTCCACTAGAATTTAAGTCCATATAAAACCTTTGCCCATTTATTTAGTGCAAACCCCAAGTATTACAGATTTAAGCTCTTGGGGGCCCATATATGATGTTCCTCTGTCTTCTGGCAGTGTGAAGCTAGCTAACTTCAGAATACAACCTTCTCAATTACTGGATGAAGATATGGAGGGGCAGGCCACTGAGAGTCTGACCTCGTTCCAGTGAGTCTATAGATAACACAAATTGGACTTTTTTTTTTGGCTGGGGCAGGTACAAGGGTTGGGGAGGTGGACAGGTGTGGGAGGCCAGCTCCCACCTTTTAAAGGGGTTCCTATGAGGAAGAGAGAGGGATAAGAAACTTTTAGATAGAAAGATAGCAAAGAGGAGAAAGACAGCAATACAGGATAGCTTCAGGAGGGCCTGGATCAAAACCCACTGGCCCCTTCTGTCTCTTCAAAAGGGCTTTTTATAACAATGCCAAGGGGCGAGGCCAAAGACCTCCTCCTTGCTAGATCAAAGCACATTGCACAGCCAAGTGCAGACCCTTCCAAACACCTAGTAACCACGCCCATGGCCAACTCAAGCCTTTATGCAGCCCTGCTGGGTAAAGCAAACTTAGATTCTTGGACCCTGAGAAAGTTCTCACTAGGAAACCTCTGTGGGTCTCTACAGATGGGAAAGTACTGGGAAGGAAATGTGATAGGGTGTGTGATGTGAAATCCTCAAAGAATCAATGAAACTATTATGTTGGGGGAAAAAAGAACTTTAAAAAAGTCATAAAGATAACGATAAATGATAAAAGCAATATCCTTATGCTCCCTTTAGTAAAGCAAAGACTGGCAATGGGTGCTGCCACAGGATCACACTATCATCAGTAGTGATGGTGGTGGCTGTCACCCCGCTGTGAAGTCTGCTGAATTCTAAGGTGATCAGAGGGAGGATCTGGCTCCTTTTAGGTAGGGGATACCCACGCACCATCTCTCTTCTTTTCCCTTCTTTTGCTGGCCACCTGCTCCATCTTTCTTTTCACTATTTCCACTTTCCCTCACCTCGCAGGTTCCCATGCTTCATCCAACCTCCTATGAACACGTGACCTTAGTGCTTCTCACCCCTCCTGCCCTCCAGACAGCAAGCAGCGCAATTGACTGCAACTTGGATGTGCTGTTTTATAGTCACGAGAACGTGTGAAACTGGCCTCATTTACCGCTCCCCCGAAATTACCATACTTCCTGCTTATGTGTGTGCCTTGCACAGCTGTTCCCATTTGCAGAGGCCATCACAATGCTCAGAAGATAATCAGAGAAGCTTCTTAAGAACAACATGCAGCCGTTCGGGGGAGGGAAAGGAAACAAGCAGAAATCAGTGCCCGTGCTGAACTGGAGTGGTAATGAGCTCCGACGGGAACCCTCCTGGGACCTCCTCCGCCAACCCCACAGCTGGGAGGTTTGCGGTTCACACAACCCCTTTAGTGATGCTCTGCGTTTGGCTGCTGAACAGGCCCGGGCCCTCCTCACCACACGAGCCATTTCCTGAAGGTGTCTTTGGTAGAGGGAATGAAACTGCTAACTCGTTACTTGCTCCTCCAGGGTTTCGTGACTTTATCTGACCTCTAGTGCTTCTATCATTGCTCAGGCATAGAAAGATCACATTTAGGCTGATTAGCTTCATTTAAGTCTCCAGGCAGTGTTCAGTCCGGTCTCATTACTTCTTTTCCCCAGAGTTAAAAGTTATCAGTGCCCAACTTGAGTATAAAAACAGCAGACACCAGGAGACTGGAGAGACAGCGGGGTGGCGACAAGTGTTCCCTGCTGTCCTTCAGGACCCAGTTTGAGCTCTCAGCACCACACACGGAACTCAAGTACCAGAGGATCCAGCGCCCTCTTCTGGAGTCTATGGGGACCTGCACCACCCATGCACAGAGCTGCACAGACATACACATGCACACGTAATTAAAAGCAAAGTAAATCTTTAAAACATAAATAATTCATCAAATGATAAGCCCAGTGTGAGTCATGAAGACCACTGTCTCTTGTCCTTTAGAACATTCACTAGTAAAATTCAACCACAGCCTGAAACCCACCACCCTGCTTACCGGTTGTTGGTTCTCAAGCCTGCTTTGCCGTTCCGATCTTTCCCTGATGTTGTTCGACCTCGTTCACATGATGTTTCTAACCTGTGCTTTTTATATTTCAGGCTGCGCGTGTTTGGTCGGTCACTCAAGTGCACTTCTGAGCTCTAGGTGAGCATTTGACTGTAAAGATATATTCAAGCTCTTTAATAATTTTACTTAGCAACAGTGCAGGTGGTTCTGGGGGGCAGGATTTCCCAGTGTTTCTCAGTTCTGTTTCCCAGGTCAGCTCTGTAGTTTGGGTGGAGACTATGAAGTGGAGGATGTGTCATGAGACCGCCGTCTCCAGACTGTCAGTCATTTAATCAGGACACAGACACTCACGCTTCCTGGAAAACACCTGTGGCATGAAGAGGTGACCATTGCTGCTCTGTTCTCACCCGCCAGCTTAGTGGTGGACCTGTGGGCATGGGAAGCAGGGCATAGGGTCGCAGCTGGCTGGCTGGGTGTGGCCGACTTTCATTCCCATCATCAAGATCTCTACAAGCAGACAGGGCCCTCTGAGTCTGAAAACCACTCTACCATAACAAAAGTGTGCGGTGGGTGACATTATGGCATGAGAGAAGTAGGTCCCCTCAGATTGCCTGGGAAGCTGAGCTGAGATCTTTCCAGTAAGCCTTGAGTGCCCAACTCCATCTTGCTCATGTTTTCATCCTCCCCGCCATCTTGCCATCTTTCCCCTTCCCCCTCCTTCCCATCCCCCTTCTCTCCCTTTGCCCTCCTCCTTCCTCCCTTCCCCCTAACCTTTTGCTCCGTTCTCTCTCTTTTCCCTCCGGCATCAACTAGGAGTCTACCAAACGCCACTCTGCTGAGGTCCAGTGGTCGGCAATGAACAAGGTCCATTCAACATGAGAGTTTTTGACCAGGTCCGCACATCTGAGCCCCCCACCCCACCCCCCTGCCCCAGCACTTAAATATAAAAGATTCTCAGGCCCACCCAGGCCTACCCCGTTAGAATTCGCAAGGGCACAGACTAAGAAAGGGGTCTTGAAAACTCTTCCCTGTGACTTTGTTACGCATGCAACAACCACCCTGTGGGGCGGACAGTAGTCAGACACTCCCTGGTGAGTGCTGGGAAAGAAGTATGAACAAGAAGCTGTGGCAGCAGAAAGAAGCCATTCCCGCAGCTGGTAGAGAGATTTGGTGTGTGTGTGGGGGGGGGGCATGTTATAGGGGTAAACTGAGTCTTGAATGTCGACTGGGAGTCTTACAGAGTTTTAAAGACAGATGAAAGCCCAAGAGATAGGAGAGGCATTGGACAGATCTGTAGGTCACTTCAGGGGCTCTCTCGTTCGGCACAGCTGGGCCAGCATAAGCAAAGAGGGAGAGCACTGGGGTGTGACCAGTGTGGCAGCCAGGGGCCAAGTGGTGCCAGCGTTAGCCGGCTGCCAGCTTGTTTGAATTTTTGCCTGAAATCTGTGGGAAAACCTTGAGAGTCTTAAGGAGGACATAATAGAATCATATTTACATTTGAGATGAGTAAACCCACAGCGGAGCTATGGGGCCAAGGCGAGGAAGACCATCAAGGGAGTTCTTACAGTCGTGTAAAACCCAGGGTCAGTACTCACTGTGGTTTAAACATGAGATTAAGACGGCTGTGTGAGTCACTCGGGCGGAATTTACTGGCTGATTTCCAAATGTGTCCCCTTGTTCCTGTGCGGACCCAGGGGGCGGTACTTCGGTAATGCCATAATCTACCGCTTTAACCATATCGTACAAGGTTGCACAAGACCATTGTCATTTATAAGGTGCTTTGAGTATGTCCCTCCTCACACCTCCTTCCCCCCACTTTCTATGAGTCCCCTTTATTCCCCAGTTTCACATCTAGTTGGTCATCTGTAATAGACGGTTTGTGTATCTCTAAGTCTAAGACCCACAAATGAGAGGAAACGTGTGAAATTCGTGTTTCTGAGACTGACTTAATTCTCATGATATAGTTATTTTGCCTGACACCAAGCAATCCAAGGGAAGAAAGGTCTGTTTGGGGGCACAGGCCTAGGGAAACATTCCATCATGGTGGAGAAGGTATGATATGGGAGGGGAAGGAACAAGAGGCCAGTGGGTCCCGTGTCCACAGCGACGAAGCAGAGCATGATGAACGCTCGTATTCAGCTCTTTCTCCTTGTTACTCAGTCTGGAACCTCAGCCTGTGGAATGGTGCCGCCCCCGTTTAGGGTAGGCCTTTCTACCTCCATTCACATAATCTATACCCAGAAATTTGTTTGCATGTTAATTCTAATTCTCATTAACTTGATAAAAATAAAAAACACAAAGTCTGAAGCAGCCAGGGAGGACACAGCATTCAGCTTCCTTCATTGGACCTGCTACCTTCTGTGGCCGTCTAACAACGGGCTTAAAGGATCTCCCACTTCCATGGGCCACGATGGCTCCCAGGCTCCCACTTTCAAGGCATTCCTGTGGTCCTTTCACTGTAGAACTCCTGAACCCACCTTCTGGTTCCATTGTTCTATCTCTAAGCCCGAGCAGCCACCAGAGAACAGGAAAAGACAGGTCAAAGAAGATTCTAGAATAAGACGAAAAAAATCGTCCCCCAGTTGGCAGTACTCTGGCAACATTGTAGCGTCACCGTTTTCCTCTCAGTACCAGGACAAGGACTCAGAACCATTGCCCACCAGTCCTACATCCAATCAGCCCCACAAAAGGGGGTGCAAAACGGGTCTTCCCGATGCTGGGGTGAGACTCCTGGATTTTGGAAAAGCAACATCAGAATTTTTGCAGCCAAGATATCAGCTGGTCCGTTGAGTCTGGACAGAGCAAGTCTGGACTCGCTTTTAATAATGCGGTTTTGACTTTCAGAAAACGCCCTGGTGGAGGGGGGAAAACTCATCATGCGAAGCCCTGCACGCTGAGCACAAGGCTTGAGGAAGAGTTATGACAGCAGCAACAGCAGCCTGGCTCCTCTTGGGGGTCTGCCAGCGCCCCCACACTAGACAGTCTTCTGGAGTCTGCACCATGCACTCTGAGGTAATCAATTTAAGAGGCTTTTATGAGATGACGGAGCACGTTACTTAAAGCATTCCCATTTATTTTGCCTTACTCTATGTTTTTATTACCTAGAATTTAAATCCAATCCATTTGGCAATGTTCTGCCGAGGCGGAAAGGCAGGGGAATAGGAATCTGTCTGCGGGGGGGGAAAGGCTAAGGGGACCGGCCCCTAGGGAAGTGCACTCGGAGGTGCTTCAGGGTGGGGAAACTCGAAAGCCTCCCCTCCCATGGGTGGGATGGAAAGTTTCTCATTGCTCCAGCAGGTTGTCCCTGCTCCTTCATCTCGGAGGGGACTGAATCCAAGGCCTTGACCACACTGGGCAAGCACCCCACCTCCGAACTACATCACCAGCCCTTGCCCACAGTTTTAAATATTTTTCTAAGGGCTCATTCTCGCCATTGGTCTCTCAGAAATCTTCCAGCCTGGGCCCTGGGGTGGGAGCTGGCTCCGGGCTCAGCATGGGAAGGAGAGGATCCTGGCCGTATTCTCAAAACTCTCTCTTCTGCCTTATGAACTACATTAGTGCCGGCCACGGGGGTTCTGCCCTACACTGGACCCTCTTTAGCCTGAGCTGTGATGAATTAAACAAGCTGAATTACTGCAGAAAATTCCTTTCCATCCTTTGCTGAGCATTCGTTGGGAGCTTACTATATGCCAAGCAATGCTGCTAGCTAGACTCTACATGCTAAATGTTATAGACAATGTACTCTAGCATATATCCTGTATGTTATATAGGGCGATATTACACCTCTATACATTATCTGTTGTCCCAGCCGGATACACTACAGTCTACACACATTGGGGAATGTGTGCAATATGTGGTACAGGTAATTATATACACTAAAAAATGTGTTGCCATAAAAGGGATTGTGTGGATATATGTTGAATAAATGAATCTCATACTTGAAAGAAAGAAAGAAAGAAAGAAAGAAAGAAAGAAAGAAAGAAAGAAAGAAAGAAAGAAAGAAAGAAAGGAAGGAAGGAAGGAAGGAAGGAAGGAAGGAA